GTTTCTTTGTGCTCTGTTTGCTTGGCTTTCTTCCTTGAAAGCTACAACGATTGATCCTTGGTGTTGTAGGCCGCTATCTCGTATATCTTTTGAGGTAAGCCAGTGAGGGATGTCGTCGATTTCTAGGTTGAGGCTCTAATTAAAAGTGAGGATCTCATCTTTGAGTTGTGCTAGGCCAGCGAGAGAGTTGAATTCTTTAATTGGGATGCCGTGGATTACTACTTGGTATTTGATAGCGTCGACTCTTGCCTCTTTGAATTTAAGTACCTTTTGGACAGCTCCGATTCTGTCAAGCAGGAATTTAGCATTGTATTCTTCTGCTGCTGTAAGGACAAGGTTGTTGTTTCGTGATCTGGAGACTGTGCTAATTGCGGGGCTGACATTAAAATGAGCTTTGAATTCCTTGTTAATAGTGTCTCTGAGGGTAATTGGTTGTAAGTCGCTAAATGGTTGAAGGTGGTCTTCGATGACTGTCAAGCAGGAATTTAGCATTGTATTCTTCTGCTGCTGTAAGGACAAGGTTGTTGTTTCGTGATCTGGAGACTGTGCTAATTGCGGGGCTGACATTAAAAAGAGCTTTGAATTCCTTGTTAATAGTGTTCTGAGGGTAATTGGTTGTGAGTCGCTAATGGTTGAAGGTGGTCTTCGATGAGAATGAGACGCTGGGCTTTAATGGCTTTCTTTTTCTCAGTAGCAGCTTTTTTAAAAGCGTCTCTCTTCTTGTCCATGTTTGTTTTTTGAGGAGGAGCGTGGTTGAGTTGCCGGTCTATGAGGCCTTGAGTACTGTTGTCTGTGTCTGTGTCTGTGGTAGGTTTGTTGTTTGTGGTTACCGATGCGTAGCTTCTTTTAGGAAGGCGCCTTGCGATGGTCTCTAGGTTGTTGACTGAGTTGGTAAGGGTGGTAATTGTGTTTTTGAGTGGTTTTCCCTCGGTATAGTCCCGGAAGAGGTTGAGTAGGTCCATGAGAGCGAGTTTCTTGGGCTGGTTGTCTTCAAGCTCAATCGCCTTACACAGAAGGGACCTAGATGCTATAATTGCGTCATCGGAGGTTTCTGGGTGGGACATGAGGGCGTATTTTGAGGTTAAGTTCAAGGATTGGTTGCTTCTTTGTCTTTTGGCTTGAGGCTGGGTTTCTCTGATTCTTTGGGAGTTGTTTGGCGTGCTAATGTCTATAAAGCTAGGGTTGTTTTGGTTTCGTTGGATGTGGTTAACTGGGCTGGATGGCGCATAGCCTCCTAGGAGGTAGTCTTGGCCATTGGCGCTAGGTGTTTGGGGGATTGGAGTTCCCAGGGTGATAATTGGGTAAATTGGGCTGATGGGGAGCGTGGGCTCGTTGAAGAGTTGCATGGGTTCGTAGGCTGTTCCTTCTATGACTTCTTGTTGCCATTCCGGGTTTGACTGTGTTTGGGTCGCCATAGTAGCGGCGTTGGTGGTGTAGGGGTTGTGAGAGGTCAGAAAGAGGGGGTGAAAATCTTTCACGTGATCTTTTGACGGATATATCTCTGCCACCAGAGGGGCAGGCCTCCTGGGAGGAGAGGGGAGTGGTTGAAATTCTAGCTGCTATCGTTTGGTGGAGCGAGATTGATGGAATTCGAAGAAAGTTTTTCCTCGAAAAAGTTGTGTGTGTTGAATTGTTGATCTGCGGATTCCGCCTTCCAATTGGTGAAGAACACAAAATATCCCTCCATTCACAACCTTATATAGTCAATACGTTTAGTCATATATGGAATCTACAGCAAAATTGGTCAGTAGAACCTGGTATAATGGAGTCCTCTCTTTCCCGTATTACTCTCATGAGTAGTCAGACATCTCAGGTTGTCTTTTAGCCGAAGTTGCCAAGATCTTTGAAATAATTTAATGCAGGATATCTCCTCCGCGGTCCTTATTCCTTCTCGAGCGAGGAGAGTTTAGTGTTTGTAAAGCGTCTGATTCAAAAGCGGCTTCTTTTTAATTCAATTACACAGGTTTTCCACCCGGAGCGTCTGAATTTTATCATCAGATCATGGAGCTGACAACCTCGCCTTGAAAAAGATCAATCAAATACTCATTCGTACACAACTCGCGGTGATAATCAAGAGCTAGTGGATAAATCCATCAGTTTAGGGGTTTCGAAATTTCCACTCAATAATGATAGACATCTTTCTGCACATACTTTGACCACTTCTTAGTAAGTTGGTTTCTTTGGTATCCACAATTCTGGCAGATCATGCCAGATTTGATATCCCAGACTAGGAGGACAATTTGCCATTACACGAAATCTCTTATTACCATACTATTGACTGCATACCGAAAGTATTCAAATTACAAGCCCATGAAATTATAATCATTGTCCTCAATAGTACAGGAGAACTCCCTTTCTGCCAGGCTGCCACCAGCAGCAAAAATATTGCCGTCTTCAGTCACTTCCCCCCTACCTAAGTCAAAGGATTGAAAACGCAGTGTCAGCCTCGGGGCCAACAGCAAACGTACACTCGAAAAGAAAAACTCTACTTTTCCAACCAAAAAACCCTATTGACCACTTCCCTCCTATCTTGCGTTTTCTCAGCAGACACCGTGCAAAGCTCAAATTCGACACACAAAAAAAGGAGTCAGTATGAATCAGCATTAAATGCACTGCTACGCCGCAGAAATAGTTTTATGTGGCAGCCCGGAGTTATCATGCTTGGTTGCCGAACAAAGTGGGAGCCACGATACATTGAATCTTACCATAGTGTGGCATTGCATGGAGCATATCGGAAATCGTAGTTGCAGTAAATAAATGGAGCCAGGAGGAAGATGTCATTTTCCTTCTGCCAGAGGTTACTTCATAATGGCCGGACAGTACTAATTACGATGAACCGTGGGGCGTATTTGGAAGGTATGATAGTGAGAATGAAGGCATCGAATTTGACGCTCAGATGAACGCCAGTGGATGGGAGAAACAAGTCGAATTCTTTGGAGCAATTTCTAGAATGTAAAGTAAAATAGACTCAGAAGCTGTTAAAGATTGCAAAAAAAGGTCGGGTGTGTAGTGAACGGCTGGTGGATTAGTGGGAGCCAGTTGAAGCGAGGGTTGCAGTCGGACAATGGTGAAGCCAATGAAGAAGAACCGCCTCGAAGGAAAAAAGCAAGTTCATCTAATACGAGAACTACGAGGATTTGCGAGGAGCAACAATCTCCATCCTATTTCATTTAAGGAAAATTTGTTGAAACCCAGCAATTGGCACCTTGATTGCCACAGCCTTGAACCTGTACACAACGGCAGCAACCTCTAAGACATGCTGAATGGATACGTCTGGAAGGGATTTGCTCTGGCAATCTTGGCGACCTTGGAGACGGGACCGTTTTGGGATGCTGGTGTGTTCGTTATTCGGTTTCTTCACAGGGTTATCAACTGCCGTTTCCCTTGCTGTTATCTGAATCTGTTGATTTCGTCAACGTCCTCAATTCTTTACCAAGTGTTTGGCATTATGTGTTATTGTGTTTCCCCTCATGTTACCACAATTTGAGGCTAGCATGCCATGATTGGGCATACCTATGATAGTTGGGACGAAGTTGGAAAAGTCACGTTTTGACCGTAACTTTGGTGGGGTTCCTGGGAGACGGGATGTGCGGCATCGACACTCGCTTAAAGCACCAATAGGATAGATTGTCGAGGGGCCGACTACGATTTTGACTTCCAATTAATATTCATTAATATTCACAATTTCAGTCATATGACTTTATGGGCGATATCAGGCTACTTGACCTAAATGTTGAGACTAGTTCGCAACAGACTGCTACAGTATTAAATCTTAAGTAGTTTGTAATAAAACAGCCTTCCAGGTGTAAGATCTCCGACAAGGCACCAAGAGCTTGCGCTCAAGAGTACAGTAAAACCCGGGGCTTCTTGCGGCTTAATTGCTTACAGTATGAATGTGGTTGGCTAGAAGCGTTTTAGTTACAGGGAAAACGTTACCAAAGTGCGCACCTTTAAACCCACAGGAAGTGTGCGTTTCTTGGAGCCTCTCACATCTGGAAGTGGTATAGTGAAATGTTGAATTTTGAAAGAAATTAAGCCGAGCCCATGAAGTTACACTGCCTACTCCACCAACATGAATGTATATGAATTTTTTTAAGGATTCAGTTAGACAAAGCAATAATTATTATCGCGTTGTGCTTTATTATACCTCGCGATAGTCTGGGTACACATGACACACCCAGGAAGTAATCTGTAAAATTGATGTCTTGAATACCTTACGTACCTATATCCGAACAGAATACCACGGCGGTCCTTCTATGAATTTTCGAGTTTTATACGACGTGCCGAGACTAATCATGAGGGATTTTCAAAATGTCTCGTACTAGAGAATAGGCTTTCACTTGGGTATTCGGACCGGAGAACGTCGAAAGGCACCAAGTCTTTTACTGATTAAGGAGCTCCTCGTTGCCCCATTTAAAGGGCATGTGGTTATAAATCGGGTTATCACATGTAGAAATAGCCGTGAAAGTCCGCTTTTCCAAACGCTTGAGATCGTGCCATTGCAGATCTCCTCTCGAAGAACACAGTATGGATATCGACGATCAAACACTCTTAAACGAAAATCGAGGACCACAGGTCCTAGGCGTGATCTGGAGCTTTTCTTTGGTTGCTATCATTGTTGTTGGTATCCGACTTTATACCAAAGGAAGAATCCTTCGACGTCTCACCATCGACGACTATACTATTCTTCTTGCACTTGTGAGTGTGCCTTTTTTTCAATTACAACCCCAAATGTAGTCTTGAGAACTTCAGCTCATTGATTTAGGTCTTTGGGATCATCAATAGTGGATTCCTGACTGTATCTGTTCATTGGGGTCTTGGGAAACATATCCGTATTCTTACTCCTAAACAAGCAAGCCAAACAATTAAATGGATGTACCTTTGCGAGGTCTTCTGCATCATGTGTCCCGGGTTTGCTCGCATCTCCTTTGGTCTTCTGATCCTCTCTATTCTACCGCCAACGGCCTGGAGGCGACGCTTCGTATGGACGGTCATCATGACCCAATTCGTCGTTGATATAGGAACAATTATCATCAGCTATGCTCAATGTCGCCCAGTAAACCGGTATTGGAATCTCGAAGTTCAAGGAACATGCTGGGAGCCGGTAGTCCAGCAATATACGGGATTTTTTCAAGGCTGTGAGTGTCGCCTCGATATAGTTTGAAATAGTAATGCGCTAATGCAAACAGCCGTTTGCTCCCTGACAGACTTACTGCTTTCGGTCTTCCCTGCATCTCTATTTTGGAGTCTGAGTATGCCAAGAAAGACAAAAGTATCACTCTCGATACTCATGGGACTTGGAATATTGTATGCTTGACCGAAGTCTTCATTTTGAAAGCTGTATTAACGTAAATCAAGTGCAATGATTGCTTCGATAATCAAGACTGTTGAATACAGAACTATTACAGCAGAAGCTGATCTCACTTGTGAGTACCCATGATAATAGTGCATGGCTTCTGTAGTGAAATTAACCTTGTGTAGATGAAATGGCTAATCTATCCACTTGGTGGGCGTAAGTGAAATCAAACTCCTATTACCAAAGTTCCAGACTAACACAAACAATTGTAATAGTATTGAAGGATTTGTTGTTCTAATTGGTGCTTCCATCCCGACACTACGTCCTTTACTCAATCGAAATGACCACAAACGTCTTTCCAGCGGCCCCGGCAAGTTTGTAAGTTCCTCCAGATGTAGAAAGAACCCCTTACCAGATAAAAAGCCTACCAACGACCAGAGTCTGGGCTCCATGGATACTTTAACTAAACTTGGAAGCTTTGGTGATGGTGAATGTATCGGAACTGAATATGTGTCGTAAAACGAAACTTCAAAGATCGTTATTCCTGGGGCGATTTTAAAGGAGACTGTGACCGAAGTGACTCATGAGAAGGGCGGAATCGAGAACGCGAAGAACGATTGTGAGAATTAGTCAGTATTTCTGACTCGATTCAAAGACAGTTCAGGAGTAATTGATGGAAAGACAGACTTGGTAGATGAGGGATTTGTGGAAACAGGTGAGCATTAGGCCAACTGATTCTAGAACTTCTGCAAACATCTTTGGTTTGAATAAATTGATTTCCTTCTAGCGAGGCACTTAATAGGTTCTCAGTTTTTCTGACATACATAGGGACTTGGAAAGAAGGTTATACTTGTATAAATAGTGTACGATAGCTTCAAACAGTTGCGGAATTCTTGATACATCTTAGAACCATACTTCTCTATACGGCATGCTATTTGTGTACCAAAGTTGACTTTATTCTTAACATCTCACCATTTCTGAATATTTCCCGAACATATTCCTAAAACTAGTTCTTATTCGGATGACCATTGTGAATCACTATGATCAGCTCTAATGATGTAAGAGATACATCATACTGAGCTCCCTACAAAGCTGATTGTCTACCAGTACCTCCAGACGATCTTATGTATGAACCTTGGACATCCACTGGCCTTGAAAATCCTTCAAAAATCGCCATTTTGTTACCTCTTCATCAGTGGGCTAGCATTCATTACACATGAGGAGCTAATGCACACCAAGTCACCAGCCTAGTACATTTGGCACAATCTAGAATTTCAATATTATATATTTGAGCATACAACTTTTGATGCAACTTCTCTAGGTAAACATTACCTAGAATCTTGGCATAAAGTAGGCAGGTTGATCACGTTTTAATCATGTGACCTCAACTCTTCCTATCCACTGAAATGAATCTTACGTTCACCTCAGGCTTTGCGAAGAAGCCATAGTGTATCAAATCCATTTCCAAGTTCACATCTTGGCCTTCTCCCATCTTAACGTCAAAATTCCACCGTAACTTTGAGAAAAATAGTCGTCCCTGCATCCATGCCAGTTCCTTTCCCACACATCCCCGCGAACCAAGGGAGAAAGAAAACATAGCTTTCAAATTATCATAATTGAATTTCTCATCATATAACGGGTGATCTGGTGTGAGCCAGCGTTGTGGAGAGTACGTTAAAGGGTCATGGAAGTATCGGTCGCTGCGTGAGACAGTGAAGACCGAGGTTTGTACGTGTGTCTGTTTGCATTATCATTTGCATTAGCTTTCTGTATTGTCACGGCCGAGAAGTCAAGAGAATAATTGCGAGATAGAGGAAACATATCCCTTTAGGAACCCAGACACCATCAACATTCGCCCCTGGACTCAGTCTCGCCAATCCCGTATTGAGACTAGGCAATAACCTCAAACTTTCTTGAAGGCACGCATTCAGATATTCGAGCCTACTAAGTTTCTCGGAGGTAATGCTTTCATAGTTATCAAATGCCTCCCTAATTTCCGCAATCAGGATATTATAGGTAATCGGACTTTGGAGGAGAAAAATGATGGTGCTGTAGTACCAATCACTCATCGTTCCAAATCCTGCAAACATAATCTGTAAGCTTACAGCCCCCAGATGACTGAACTCCTCTTTGGATTTAGGCATTTTATCATTTTCAGTCAATGCAAAACTAAAAAAGTCCAAATGCTCGATAGAATTCCGACGTTCAATCCGCTTTCTGACACCTGCTCTGCAATTGCCTCCATGCGGAAAAACGGTATGAGTTTAGAAAACGGGGCGAAGAAGTATTGTAGAGGCATGAGAAGGGGAAAGCGCTTGAATACTTGAAGAACGGTGGCGAACCAGTTAAATGCCAGAAGGACGTCCAAATCGAGAGAATCCTTAACTGGAAAACACAAATCACGGCGTCAATAATCAACCACAATGGATTCAGAAACATTGAAACTTACGATTTCTCATTTGACTCATCTTTTCACCAGTTGCCAAGTCCGCGCTCGTATCCATCGTTAACCAGTTCATCCACTTCGCAAGTCCTACACCCTCACGCGCTCCTCCCAGTTTCTTCATTCTGGAAATGAATTCCTCAATGTAGTGAACCACAATTGGTTCCATAGCCCTGATTCTTCTCATACTGAAGGCTGGAGCAAGTTTCTTAGCAACTTCTCGATGCCGAACAGGATCTTCGTCCCACACGATACCACCTAGATTCTTGCCCCGGTTCTGGAAATCAGTCTTTGGAAACAGTTCCAGAGATTTGTGAGAGGGAAGATAGATGTCGTGAAAGGCGTCCGGGGTGAAGAACACGAGTTAATTGGGGCCGATGCGGAATACGTCGCCATATTTCTTCAGCGCAGCTTCAATCGCCCAAGGATACCTCCCCGAGAACCTGTAGATTGTAAGCCCATCGAGTGACTCTTGTATTGAATGAGATCTTGAGAAGACTTACCAATGATAGGCGTACCATATATTCAAGACCGCGGCCAATTTGGGGCCGGGGAATTTTGCAAGTGGGTGGAAATAGATGTTGTAAATGAATCTCGAAGCCGAATAGACCATTATCTATCACTCAAAACAAAATCAACTCTCCCCAATGACGTGATCCTTGTTGCTTAACCGAAAAGAGAAGGGTTATACATAATCCACTAAAGCCGAAACTGGCGATCATTTCTGCTGTCCATATACTCGACCCATACCTTTGCTGCTGAATCCCCAATTTGAGTTGGTGTCTACCGAAATACGCGTCGCGTCACTCGAGAGCTCGAGTAAGGAAGTTGTGACCAGAACCACAGAGCAGCAAGAATGGAAAAGATGAAAGGTTATCACGTATTATAGATGAGAGAACTTTTATCCGCAAATCAGGCCTTTGGGTAGTCGCATTACGCAAGTGAAGTGGCATGTGGGGCGTGTTGGGTATTTATTGGCATCAACAACCAACCAACACACAACCAACACACATAACGAGACTATTACTCAATCGTGATTTTCACCCGATGAGGCATCTTTTGAGACCTTTCAAGAAAGTAAAGTAAAGATTCAGAAATATTGATTAAATTCTTTTATGTAAACATCAAGCCATGAACATATTCCTTGCGTCTTACAAATTCTTCTCCGGAGCAGTTCCGGTGCCAGAGCCGTACTTCCTCACCTCCTCCTTACCCGCAGTTTTATCAGCTTCGAAAGCAGCCACTTCGTTACTATCCATATGCTTTGCAACTTGATCCGCCTGCCACTTCTTGAATGTGAAACCCAAGCCTTCGTGGCTGTGGTACCTTCTTTCCCGGTATTGCAGATTCTAAATAGTGTTTTGTCATCGTCAAGCAAAAAACATTCAAGCTCCTCGAGTCAGTTACAATGGCAGACGCATCCGGAACTGTATCAACAAATCAAAAACGCAAGAAGGAACCACATGTATACCCAGAACCTTTTGTCGTGCCTTCAAGGTCATTGCACACGCAAACTATGCTGCTTCTACATGGGCGAGGAAGCGATGGCGAGAAGTTTGGGCTTGGGTTCTTGGCGTCCAAAACAGCAAGTGGAAGTTGTATTCAAGATATTTTCCCTGGAATGAAGTTCATTTTTCCAACAGCAAAGAAGCGACGCGCAAGATGGTATAAACGCGCTTTCATCAATCAGTGGTTCGACAATGTTCCTATTGATGAACAGAGCCAGGGAATGAGCATGGATGAAGTGGATTGGCAGCTTGAAGGGCTAGCTGAGACCGAGGTTTTCTTGAAGCCATTGCTGGATACTGAGATTATGAATCTTGGTTCTAGGAACGTGTTTCTCGGAGGACTGAGCCAAGGTTGTGCCATGGGACTGCACGTATTGCTCAGCTCCCGGTTGGGGGATAGTGAGGGGGTAAAGGAGGCTGGTCCCCTTGGCGGATTCATCGGCATGAGTGGATGGCTACCATTTTTTGATGAAATTCAAGACTTGATCAAACATGATAACTTAGGAGGATCGATTCCAGAAGACGAGGATGAAGATCCGTTTGCCACTTCTGAAGATGATGACGATGATGCCAAATTCAAACCAGAACACTCTAAATGCTCAGCAGCAACTCAGGTCTGTGAGTTTGTTCGTCAAAATATGGACCTTCCATTTTCTCGTGTACCAGATCCTGCATTCATACGCACTCCGGTATTTCTTGGGCATGGAAAGAACTATGAGAAGGTCCAGATGAGTTTGGGATTTGACGTAGTAACTGCTTTGAAAGAGATGGGTGTGGAAGTGAGATGGGAAGTGTATGATGAAGGTCATTGGTATAAGGTCCCAGAAGAGATTGATGAAATTTTCAACTTTTTGAAGGCTTCTTTAATGTAGTTGCCCTTTACATCACGTTGTGAAGACATGGCAAGGTACGAAATACCAGAAACTCCCCGACATGTGTTAAGGAGATCGTTAAATTAGTTACTCCATTATGGAGGCCTTTCGCAGGGGAGTTTCTGGTGAAGGGTTTTCTATGAAGGACATGAAATCTTCTTTGATTCACGTTTATCCGTACTTACAAAACGAATTTCTTCAAACACTATCAAAAGATTTTAGTAAAGCAAGATGTATAATAAATACAGAAAGATTGTCGGTTACAGGCAGGATTGCTTGAAGCTGTCGTCTAAGTGCAATTCTATCATGACTCAGGCATTGGTATTCCTGTGCATTTGATTGGTATAACACATTTAGAGAAATACCAGCATGTCAATGTTATTCATCTTAAGTTAGCGTCAGGAACAATTAATTGAACTATATGTAACGACCGCCTATTCTGTGTTCAACAAAACCAAACGACATTTGCTTGCCAGTAAACAACGGATCTGAAAACACCAATCTTGTACTTAGAACGGAAAAAATCTGGAGACAAGCCATCACAACTACATTCATATAACTGAAGAGCTCCTACTCCTATGACCATCACGTTTCTCTCTTCGATGTTTTTCCTTCCACCACCCCATCAATATTGTCCCACCATGGTTTGACTAAACAGAATCCTGGCAACTTAGAGGCACTCAATAGCTCCACTAGGTCCGCCCACAAGGTTTCCATTGCACTGCTTTTGAGCTGTTTTGATTGTCAACATCAAATCTCCGCTCCTTCTTGTTCTTTTACTTACGCGCAGAGTTTGGAGACGCAACTGGTGCTCCTGCAACGAGGCTGGCCATTGTGATAATGATGGATGAAAAAGTGATCAGATCAAAATGCATGTTGGATTTTAGAGGGATTCTTCAAGTGAGGATCTAACTGGTGTGATGATGATTTGAAATTGATGTTTTGCAATGTTAGGTTGTCTGATCAATTGCGATATACCCTTCTTATCCGTTGCGAAGTCCCTCCTTTATACTCTTTTCATGTTCTATGTGCATTATTTGATACGATCACAGTTCCCAACCCCGCACTAGGACCTTCATTTTTGCCACACCAAAATCTCAAATACGATGGCTACAACAAATTTGGACAGGCCCCAAGAGATAGCACTTCTGCAACATGTAACAATCAAATTCCTTGAGGAAGGTGGAGAGGCTTCTGGTAGTGGCTTGCATGAATATGCCACCTAGCCGTTGAATGAAACCCTGTATGCAAACTGTCGGACGAGTTATCAAGAACCCCTCTTTCAATAAATACAACAGTTCACAAAATTTGGACAGGCCCCAAGAGATAGCACTTCTGCAACATGTAACAATCAAATTCTTTGAGGAAGGTGGGGAGGCTTCTGGTAGTGGCTTGCATGAATATGCCACCTAGCCGTTGAATGAAACCCTGTATGCAAACTGTCGGACGAGTTATCAAGAACCCCTCTTTCAATAAACACAACAGTTCACGATCGTAGCCGAAATCATCACCCAATTTTCGATGCCACTTGAACAGTCAACTGTGTCCCGTAATTCTTCTCAACCCATTCATACAATTTCTTTTACTATCGCTCAGAATGAATGAGGTTCTTTTGCTTTACAATGACGAGAAGTCAGACTCAAGTTGTGGCTCCCAATCCTCGCTTTATGAAGATAAAGACGAAGAATTTGAAGGTTTCGCCCCAAAACCCTCCCACAATTCACGTTTCCGAAGATGTTTACCAACTGTTGCACTTGCATGCTTCATCGTATACTTCTTTGCTTCGACATTTTTGATCTTGAAATTACACCAGGGAAGATCTAAAGTCTTAGATAAACCATACTGTACGTTCTTGTTCAAACCTCATTTCCTTTAATTCACCTAGAAGTTTTCTGACAAATAGACAGCACCTGCAAATTCTATCGTTAAATACAAGATTCAGAAAAAACATGCCACAGATAATTTAGAAGCCTTCGTCGGACCACCATCTAATACTACCTTCGATGCATGGGCTCATCTTGTCAAACGTAAGTTCAAGCTCTTTTGATAAAACATTTCCTTAACAAAGTTATCTAAGCATCCTTGATTCGCATATCTCACGAAGAAATGGTACTCGCTGGTGAACATCCGGAGGTCTCAACGGAGGTTGTTGGGGGTGGTTTTATGGGTTCACTTGGAGTATATCATGAATTGCATTGTATGGTGAGCGTAACTCGTATTACGTATCTACCCCCACAGTACTAAAACACATCTAATAGCGACGATTGAAGCTTTTCTTATACAAGGATCATTACTACCCTGGGCTGAATGGAAGTGAATTGGAGTATGAAATGAACCACCTAGGTGAGTAAAGAGTTCGACCTAGTAACGATGAAGATCAGATAGACTGATATCTAATATCGTCTGTAAGACCACTGCCTAGAAGCTATACGAATTTCCCTCATGTGTGCTGGAAACTCTGCACTATATACATTTCAATGGGATCTTGGCAGTAGTCGGAAACCAGTCACAAAGACAAACTCTGAAAGAGTCTGTGTCGATTGGGAAAAGCTCGAAACTTGGGCCACTGAGCGTACAATTGGGATTTCGCCGTTACTCGTCGGACCGGAGGGGACAGACACAGAAGAGTAAACCTCAGTTTTCTGGGTAGAGGCCCTCTTGGATCCTCGTTGTGGCGGGGCTTCTATTTCATGAAATATCATGTCTCTATAGTACTCATTGTAGCTAGTTTATTGCAACTTGTTTTGCTTAGCCACAATTGACGAGCAAATGAGTATGAACATCCGCTCCCTGAGATTCCATTGTGGGCGAGAATGTCTCTCTCGGTAATAATCCAAGCTACAAAAACTGGTAAAAAAACATTGTTCGGCCCTTTTTCCATATTCGGATCCAATTGTGATCTTTATTACAACACTGTAAGAACTACACCCATGAAGGTATAGCAACAGTGTTTGTACTGCAAATATCGAACGAAGCGTGCATTCGACAAGGACTTGATATCGAGATTATGCAACGGTACAGTAGTACTGCACTGCATCCATTGGAATTATCGAATATTCAGTCGTCCTTGGCGTAATTCGTCAAGAAGCGAAGGAATCTGCATGATGCATCACGCTGCGCCACCCGTCCGGTTCCCGGTCGTACGAAAACGGACTTGCATTACAGTACAGTACCGTATGCAGTGACTCGGGCAGGATTTGGGTGAGGGTTGAACATCACATTCTCGGGGCTATTAACGTCGCCTCGGCCAATATTAGAGGGAACATGTAGAAATTATGAAGGAAGTGTTGTGGAAATCATTGAAGAAGACTTGAGGCTGAATTCGTTATCTTCAATTTACCTTCTGCATTAGACTTTATACTTGGGTATTCTGTTGAGGCACTGAGTCACAGTGCATATTATGCAAGGTCGAATTTGACTTCAGAATCCGATAATAGTTGCAGGATGAGGGATCAAGGGTATTGTTTGAATTTCGCTCGTAGGTGGGAAAGTTTGGAAGTAACCAGTTCCATCCTCGTAATATATTCATGTCAGCCTCGACTTCAGATCTCTTCGATAGCGCCTATCAAATTCCTCAGAACGCGAGTCGAGCAAGAATCAATATGTCTTTTCAGTTATCCGAAGTAAAGAGAGAGGCAGAATTCAAGGACCTCGTCAAAACCGAGTACTTGGCATACCAGAAGCCGTACAACGCTTTCTGGGAAGTGCTTAAGGGGCCCAACGTCGAGGAATGTACTCAGCGCCAATGGTGTATGTGTTTCCTGTACATTTCTTCGCATTTGCACTGTTGATACACTCTCTTCCCCTCTTTTCTAATGTCCCCTCTTTATAACTTCGAAACGTTTATTTTATATGAAAATGCTTACTGTCAATAGCTTGGCATACTGGGACAGAAGGAAGTCACTGGCTAAAAGTGACTGAAAATGAAAATGTCATTGGTGGAGCAGAGTGGATCGTCCACGAGAAGGATCCTTTTGAAACCCCTCAGCCTATCATCAAGGCAGATTGGTGGCCTGAAGGTCTTGGCCCATCCAAAAGGACACTTAGATTTGTTACTGACTCTAAACAGGGCCTCTCAAAAGTGTATCCAACCATATGCTTTATACATTTTTCTCCGGTCGACCGTCCGTCATGAACCGGCCACACTTACGTAAGTACCAATACTCGTCTGCCTTCACTCTACCATACTTTATGCTTACCACCCTACTGTTCTCAACATTTGTTTCGTTCATTCAGATTATCGTCGGCGTGGAGTAGGCCGTCTAATGATGGAGTGGGGCTGCAAACTTGCCGACGAAATGGGACTACAATGTTTTGTAGAGTCCACAGACGATGGTCGCGAGCTGTATAAATCTGCTGGGTTCGTGGCGGTTCATCCCTTTTTTCTTGATGCGCAGCCTTCAAACGAGCAAGAGGGCGATAACCCCGAATGGTTGAAAGTAAAGGACAAGATCACCCCCGAACCATATCGTGTGTGGCTAATGTGGAGACCTGAAGGAGGCATTTTCAAAGATGGCAAAATTGGATTTCCATGGGAAGGATGAAAAATAGAGGGTAAAGAAAATGACGGCAAATTGTGCGGTACTTGTTTGAGATAATATAGTTTTGGAATTCAGTTAATGGACATCGGACTCCTCACTTTCCCCACCTCTAAGAGATGATAATTTTACCGAAATCCAGGTGCTCTATGGAATCTGACACCATCTAATAAAAGTTTCTTTTTATTTAATTTCTATCTTTCACTTTGCTTCTCACAAAAAGAACCTGGCTTATTTCATGTCAAATATCTCACAATCTCTGCTCACTTCTTGGAGGCCCGATCATGTGTTAATAGAATGTATTAAGATGTATACCACATTTTGAACCAATTTGATATCGGAAAAAGATTAAGTACCTAAAGGAACAAGCACGCCAGCCAGCCGACTGCTATGGTGTTACTGTCTCGGTTTTAACGGCAAAAGTGCTTGTTTGGCGAATGATATTAACCTTGCTAGAATCACTGCCTCTCTCCCAATCATTCGCCAATTCATCCCCATTTGCGGTGACAAAAACTTTGTTTGCATTGACATTTCCGTTGGGACTGTTCTCCAATGGAAGACCTTTGAAAGTTGCCGGGAATGATTCTTCGGTTACAGCAGAATTGCCTGTCCGACTGCTGAGAATATTTGCCATTTTCTTCATTGAGTACGATTTTGGTTTTGATGCATATTGCTGTACTGCTGTATCTCCACCACGTCTCCGTATGTCATCGTTGCCTATCATTCCAGAATTGAGACTCTGGAGAAATGGTTTGAGATATGGCACGCATGCAGAGATTATTCCAATATTTAGGGCCACGATGGTAGACATAACAGAAGACCAAGAAATGGACATGCCCCCCGTTTCGTTTTGATGATACATAATAACCAATTGCACTATTATAGCAGCAATGACCCTGAGTGCACATTAGTTAGATACTATACGTTTTCAGGAGTCAATAACAAGATACATACAACCCACGGGACGCGAAACATCCTATAACAACTAATTTTGACCTCATGTTCATCTTCAACTGCGATGCAATTGTTACCGGGAGAACAATGAGACAAAAGTCGATCGCGATACTAGCTACTTCTGCAAATGTATAGAAAGCGAGACGATTTGTGCACACGTTCTCCAAAGAGTTCCAAACAGCTGGCATGTGACATTGAAAAACTAATCCAAAGACCGCGTTGATCATCCATACTGTAACGGCGAAGCAGATATATATGGCAAAAGAACGATGAAGCTCATTGGGCGTGATAGTGCGGATGAAAATTGCCATAGATAGTTTAGCAAAACCCTGGCTGAGGACGAAAAGAATATTGGCAGAATATACAGCCTTTCAACCTATCAGCATCGAGGAACTATTCTTTTGTGGGTGGATACAGCATGAACCTTTTGTATTTTCTCGGTCTGGCTTCTTGTACCAAGTTCCCAGGCTAGCATTCCCAATCCATTGGAAACTCCAACCGACAAAGACGCGGTGGTTCCTATCGCGAATAGCTATATTCATTAGCTAGTCCCAAGCTATTCAAAGCTAGGAATTCCCACTGTTGATAGAATGATGCAATAGTCGTCTAGCGCAAGCCTTCTCAAGATTGCCCATCGGGATGCACACCGAGTAGATACGACAAGAAATGTGGTGATTATCAAGACCCAGCTAGTAACGTGAAGAAGCGATCGGTGGTCTACGTTTGTGTCCAGAGGTGCTGATCGTGATGGCTCTGTAACATTGAGTTCCATCTTATAATGTTGTTGAAATCTAAGGCACCAGAATTGCAAAGTGAAAGATTGGTGAGTGAAGAAAAATAAGTATCAATGTGCTATTAAGAGAGGATGTGGGAGACTAAGATCTTCTCACGATAAACCAGGTAGAAATTAACCGATATGAGCACTTCAAAAGTCAGTCATCTCTTCTTTCTACAGGTAAATTGAGCTCTATCGAATCTACCTGGAAAACGATAATTGAATCCTTTTTTGGCCCATGGAGACGCTCCGTTCCCATTCTCAGACTCGCTATCCCGTGATGTAGGAGTAAGTACCTTGCTCCAATCAGCCGCAAGGGAAGACGACGGCAAGTCAACTGTCTAAAGTCGGCGAAACATATGCTAAAACCAGACTCGGCCCTGCCAGGGTGGCCAAGCCAATACTTGACCTTGCTCTGAATCTCAAAATCGGTCCCATTTGAGCTGCGTGAGGAGACGAGGAGAGAAAGAAGACTACAGTACTGCAGTACTGTAGTACTGTAGAGTACCATCGATATGCGCGTGTGGGGCGTGTTTACAGTTCCGGTCTTTTATCCGTCCAAACGGCGCACGAGGAACCGATCAAGATTGAGAGTCATGAATTTCCTGTATCTATTTTCAGTTCGCCAGCTAGTTCAGCGTGGATTCAGACAAGATATCGTAGCCTGCAGCCGATTTTCTATGACATGAACAACCGTGTACACTGTATCGCTGCACTCGGCGTTGGAGGGGAATATTTTTCCCGGGGATCCTCGAACGATCCAGGAACATGATGCTTAAAAGTGCAATTACATTCTTCTGGACAGCTATTATCAAAGTGTAATCCCAGGCCCTGAAATCTTTCAGGGCCGGGGGTATCATTTCACCACTCGCTTATTCCATTATAGTCTTTCCTGATTGCAGTTTATGACGCCCTCCGTTCAATTTTCATTTCTTTTATTTGATTGAATCTTCTTGAGAACATTAGGCTTGATTTGATATCAAACATGGACAAAGAGACCGTTAAGCTTCGAACGATTGGAGGCTCTGAATTGCCTTCGGAATCCGCTCTTCAACGCGACAATGAGGAACTGGCACGTTTGGGGAAGAAAGCTGTTCTGAAGGTAAAGATTTTCCAGAAAAACTGTCACACTATGATTGAATCTGGTCTGACGTAGATAGCGCAACTTTGGGTTTCTCTCTATGCTTGGTTTCAGTTGCACTGTTATGATTACCTGGGAAGGGGTTTTGCTGTAGGCTTGCATTCCATTGAGCGCAACTATAAACTTCTCTAACTCGATTGCTCAGGCTTTTCACTATAAACTTCAATAATGGTGGAATGGCTGGCTCGGTTTATGGATATCTCTTCGTTTGGCTTGGAACATTGGCGGCATTCTCAACCATGGCCGAACTGGCATCTCTGTAAGGAATAAATTCGAATCGATCCTCGTACGGAATATTTAAAAGGCTTACATAGTGTTCTCAGAGCCCCTACTGCTGGTGGTCAATACCATTGGGTAAGCATTTTAGCACCGAAGTCTTCTAGAAAATTCCTCAGCTATGTCATTGGTACGGCAATCACATCAAAAATTTACAGACATTGCTGATACTCAACAGGATGGCTTACCATGGTAGGATGGCAGGCTATCGTTGCCTCCGGTGGCTTTCTCTGTGGCTCGCTCATCCAAGGGCTTATGGTCATGAACGACTCTTCCTACATCCCGCAAGCCTGGCACTTAGTATTGATGTTTTGGGTTGCAATAATATTCTCGATACTAGTGAATACGGTTATCAGTCATTATCTACCTAAAGTAGAGGGTTTTATTCTAATTTTGCACGCACTTGGATTCTTTGCGATCATAATTCCACTCATATACTTCGCACCACACGGGAATGTATCTGACGTGTTTACTACATTTTCCAATGGAGGTGGATGGCCAACACAGGGTGTATCATTCCTTGTTGGGATTGTGGGGCCTTGTTTTAGTCTTCTTGGTATGTTTTGATTCTCGAAATCAAGTGATCACACTGAAATCCTGACTAACGTATTTACAGGTGCAGATGGTGCCGTGCATGTATAAATTCCGAGCACTGCCAATGTCGATAGTCCTTTGCTGATATGTTCTTTAATTTCAGATGTCCGAGGAGATCAAAAATCCTTCTCTTAATGTTCCTCGCGCAATCGTGTTCAGTATTGTCCTGAATGGTTTGCTCGGTCTCGCAATGCTTCTCGCGGCATTATTCTGCCTCGGAGACATTGAAACGGTTCTTTCAACCCCAACTGGGTACCCTTTCATGGCAATATTTCAACAAGCTGTCGGCTCCCTGAGCGGTGCCTTGACAATGTCTGCCCTCATCACAATCATGAATATTTGTGCTACAATATCTTTCGTTGCCACTGCGTCGAGGATGACTTGGTCATTCGCAAGGGATCGAGGTCCGCCTGGATGGCAGTATCTTAGCAAAGTAAGTCCTATTCATTTCTCTAGCTATAGAAAAACCACTGATTCTCATTTTCATTTCAGATTGAACCACATAGTGCCCTACCACTTGTAGCTATTGGTTTGACAGCAATAATATCGATACTACTCAGTTTAATAGCGATTGGTTCTGCAGTTGCGTTCAACGACGTTGTCTCCTTAGCGATCAGCGGTTTGTACACTTCTTATCTGATCGGTAACGCTCTTTTGTTTTACAGAAGGGTAACAGGTCAAATATTACCATACTCTCCCTCGCAAAAGACTTTGACAAATACCATGGATACGGATTTGAGCTGGGGACCTTGGAAGATACCGGAGCCGTTTGGTAGTATCATCAACGCTTTTGGTTGTGTGTATTTGATCATCGCTGCAGTATTCAGTTTCTTTCCAACAGCGGTCAACCCAACAGCCTCAACAATGAATTACAGCTCTTTGATGGTAGGATCTATCTCCATATTTGCTGTCCTTTACTATATCTTATCAGCGCACAAAGTGTACAAAGGGCCGCTTGTTGAGGTGGAACTGAAATAGGGCAGAATAGTGCTAGGGGTTAACAGTGGTAGGATGAAAAGTATTGCAAGGTTCAGTCACAGTACGTCCCTGTCGGTCAGATCTAGAGGATTCCTTTCTCTTATTACCGGAGCTTAGTAATGGAAGACGGGATCCTTACTGAGTTCCAAAAGTGTACATAAGCTTGTTCAAGCTTGTTCAAGCAGTGTCAGAGTGTTATGGTTCACCAACATTCCGAGAGAACGGGAATGGTTTTGTTGGTACAAGTGGCGATATTATTCTATTGGCAGAATGTAGAATTTACTGATTCTAGAACTACAATGAATTCTCGCTTTACTTCACCAAGGGGTTCATAAGAAATCAGTCTTTTTGGTATGTGAAACATGTAGAAGAGAATAGAAATGTTTGGCAAACGGAGTTTCTCATGGTGATATATAAGTTGATCCCATTTAGCGACTGTTAGACATAAAGTATTTGAAGTATTTGCTGGATAGTATTCTGTTGCTATTATTGGTTATAACGAAGACTGATCCAAGTAAAAATACAATGTCTTTCAGAAAACCTATAGTGAGTTATGTATGAAACATGAAAAACTCAATGATAGTGAATAAAATGTATCTCTACTGTAAGGGTGCGATAGCGACAAGGTCAACTGTATGCGTAAGAACTAAATTGTCTACAAAGAGTGGAAGTGATCGTAAGATCTGAGGCTATTTACAGTTCCAAGGGCACGGGCCACATCGCTTCCTCCACGTCTGTACCCTCACATCTACCTTCCTACAGCCAACCAGCTGGCTTACAACTATGCCACACCACCCTGACCCAATGTTGACCAAATGTTGGCCAAATGTTGAGGCGTATAGTTCTCCACAAGATTAAGGAACACGCTAACTTTTCACTGACAAAGATTCAATCACTTACCTGTTCTGAAAATTCACCACTTCGCGCTGTGTCCTCCTCCAGCGCCTGTGTTCACTCTCTTCACCAAGTATATCCCAGTTCACTACTCTGAGACTTAATTTGAATCTGAGGTTGAGATTATCCTTACAACTTCGTCCAGGTTACCTGAAGTAGTATTACTCTCGGTAAATCAGAAATTTGGAAGACTTATTACACTATCAATATTATCCCTTGCCGAGTCACCAGAGTCTTTACTTAGAATTATTTGTAATAGTTCAAGGTCTGCTATGGTATCTCCCTATCTGATACCCCAACTAGGTTCATAGATATACTCTAATATCGCCATATTTCGTGTTACCTAGCTTGGGTTTCTTTATTCAAGGCATTGGGTAGATTTGATGCTGATAGTCCAAATAGTAAGTATTAGTCACGTAGATCGATCAGTATTTGAGGTGCTAGGTAATTGCAAGACAGAAAAAGTGAGTTCGTTTCATGCGTTCCGAGAACTATCAAGTACCTAAAACGCTCATGACAGTAATACCCGAGAAGGGAGGGATTCTTTCCAAAGTGATCCAACAGATTATAAAAAGCCACCAAGCCCAGTACATATATTATTCCAATCTAGAAAGTAGTGCAGGTACATCCCTTAGCAGGGCATGCTACGCCTAAATGGCCTCGTCAGTCTCTTTCAATAGTAAGCCCGGTCCAAATACATATACATACTGGGATAAGCAATACATCCCTGACTGATTGCCTGACAATTCGTTGCTTCCGCTCCACAGTCTGGATGACATTGTTGATTAGTAAACATTCCACCGAAAGGAAAGAGCTTAGAGCAGTTTAACATACTGGTATCCTCACAAGGCCCATTCCAGGCTGGGAAGACTCCGTATTCCTGCTCACATGCCGATAAGCGTGCGTAAAGCTTGCCTTCGACGGCGGCAGGGATGGCGCCGGTACCAATGGCGAGGACCGCGACGGTCAATAAGATGGAGGATGTGAAGCGCATTGTGAGAATGGAAGAAAGTATGTATTATGACAATTATGTTTGTCCTAGAGAATTAATGTAATGTAAAGAATCCGAGGAAGGCTTGGTGGATGGGTGGTTTCTGCTTTGGGGGCTACGTAGGTTCATATATACTAAACTCAGCCAAGTACGTACACACCAAGTACACACCAAGTACACGCCTTGTCGATCAGGTGCTAAAATAACCTGTCCCAGACGCAACATCTGTGATATTTGCGGGACTACCGATAATAGTACCAAAGAACACAGCCTCTTTTGCACCCCAAGCTTTTTTACCCCACAAGTAACATCGCCATTCCCGTTCGCCAAGCTCTGCCGAAACATCCACCCTAACATAACCTGGGGAACCCAGGGAAGATTCTCATTTATTTTGATCAAATCTACAAATTATTATACTAGTGACAAAATAACACGATGGCTTCGTTGTTACTTTCAAGAACATTCCATGTAATCGTGTGTCGTGATTTCCCAAAAATGCTTTATTTTTGCCGCATAATTCTCTTGGCCTGTCCCGGCTGGATAATATAACCCAAGGAAAGATCAAGAAACGGGAATGAACTGATTCCTGACGTGCCGACAAGTACTCCACTCCATAATACCTTAGTCAGACAGTTTAACGTTTTGATTTGTCAAATATCTAATGTAAAAAGTGGGCTAAAGATTATATACTTGCCAAGATCCGGTACTTGCCTCCTCCATTCTCTTGGAGAGGAACTGCATCCGGGAAGTATGAAACTCCAAGAGCGCCACCAAGTAATAGATACGTCATAAGATAGGACGCTTTCATGGAATTTAATCATAATTCCTTATTCATCTGATTTCAGAAGGTGACAAGCTTTCAGGCAATCCTTCAAAAAGGAATGTGCCGCTTAAAGGGTCTAGACAGCTTGCGCCGCCCCCTCCCTTGTATACAACTTGTTATAGGCAGGGTATAACTCTACAATGTAACATTCAAGCCAATTAGATTGTGCAATTCATGTAGATATATATTAGAAAGTGACAAGGCGGAAGAGACCCGAGCTGTGCAGACCCTTTACTCACAGGTTTTATAACTGCCCAGTACCGCGAAGTCCAATGTCGTTATGTCAGCATAGAAAGACCAGCGAATTGATCGAGGAGTTTACCATACTCGAAGCGGGTGCGAATAATCAACCAAGTTCCATTTTGACCTTCAGCGTCAAGGGTTATCCCCATTCCTGAAGATCAGCTGCGTAAGCATAATTCTTCGAGAGAAAAAAAATTGATGTCCGCGTCTCGAATCGAAGCCTTGGTTTTCGTCGTCACACCTCGACATCCGAACGTACCGCCACTAGCAAACAGAAATTATGGCATAACACGCGCTACCTAATTAAGCAGAAATAATCAATTATACTCGTCGGGCTCATATATCTGAAGTATCCCCTAACGCCGATGTTGTTTCTACTACTGAAATTTATATAACCCTTAAGTATAACTATAGTTGTATAACTGTTTTATGTACGTAGTAAAGATGTTCATTTAACTCTAACTCTTAACCTAAACCTTAATCCTAGCCCTAACCCTAACCTCTCTAACCTATAAGAAAAGTTCTCACTAAAGGACTTTATACTATTCTTGAAATCAATTATATTATAATTTATTTAGAGTAACTTTTAATAGTTATAGCTAGTAATAGGCCTGTAGAAAGGGGGTGGACATCTGAGAGTGTACTACGAAGTATGTTACGCAGATCATATCAAAACATGCTATATAAAGGGCCTTTTTAATAGCTTTTATACTGTTTCATGGACAGTTTTTTCTTACTACGAAGCAAGTAGTCCGATTGCGCGTTCTATTAGCTAAAACCTTATATTTTTGGCTAAGATATATCGCATAAGAGTGGACCTATAGTGGGGTGTCGATCTTATCACTCTAGCAGGGTGTCAATCTTGGCTGTCCACCCCCTTTAGGTACCGGTATTCTCGGACCGTTATAGACAACTCTAGATCGGCCTTGAATTAAGCGAAATATATCTCCCGAGAAACCGATTCCGAAAAAATAAGACTTTTTCTAGCCCTCAGGCAGCCTTCGGACAGCCTTCGGATAGCCCTCGGATAGCCCTCGGATAGCCCTCGGATAGCCCTCGGATAGCCCTCGGATAGCCCTCGGATAGCCTTCGGGTAGCCTTCGAATAGCCCTCGGACCGCCTTCGGATAAGATTCGTATAATTATTAAAATAGAGCTAATAGTCTAACATTAGTACTAGTACTATTGAAATAATAGATAAGCGTAATTCTTTAATTAATAGATATTATAATTAACTTAACTTTATAGGTATAATTTTTATAATTTTTACTATTAGAACTTCTCTTAAACCGTTTATTAGTAGTACTATTATTTAGTATTTAAGCTAGCTGTAACGAATACTCAAACTGGCTAACTAAACTTGGCTGGGTGTTCGCTGGTTGGTATGCTATGATAAGAAGAAGACTATCGGGTTGTTCACTTGGAAGTGAACTCGTTACTTGTATCANCTCTTAGCTAGCCTAGTCGATCCCTATTTGCTATAAGAGCTATGATAGTGCTTAACCTGTCAGGGCGCCGCCTGGTCTTCACTCATCACGTGCGTGCACATGATTCGTGACACTAGCGCTAGCTATATATCGCCCCGAGTATAAGCCTCGACTTCTTCTCTCCTTAGTGTCACGAATCACGTGTCCACGTGATACATATCATTAATAGGAGGCGCAACCCTCGACAGTGCACACCCAGGTTCCTTATAATAGGGATCGCTTAGAGTAGCTAAGCGATCCAAGGATTTCCATTGGTTACTGTCACGTGATGGACCCGGATGGATCACGAAGGGATCCAAGGGATCCAATGGATCCAGGAGAGGACGAAGGTTCTATATAAGACTGGCACGTCTGCCATTAGATAGGAGCTTTGTGCTCAACTTAGTTATCAATCTTATCATACTTGTTTAACATCTTTGATACAAGTAACGAGTTCACTTCCAAGTGAACAACCCGATAGTTCTTCTTCTTATTCTAGCATACCAACCAGCGAACAACAGTCAAGCTTCAGTTAGCCGGATCAGTTATCGTTACACTTAGTCTAATATATACTCTTTAACCTACCCCCTACCTATTATACTCTATACCCTGTAAGAGGATTATTACTATCTCTTTAGAATATCTACTTAATTGTCACGAATCGCGTGCTCACATGATACTTGTCATAATAAGAGGCGCAACCCTCGACAGGCATATCCAGGTTTCTTATAGCAAATAGGGATCGTTTGGAGTAGCTAAGCGATCCAGGGACTTCTCTGTATTGTTATCACGTGACCAGTAGTGGTCGCTTGGTCGCGAGCGACTACAACGGCCAGGTCGTCTTGGTCGCGGCGACCAGCAGCGATCATGGGAATGAGGGTTCTATATAGAACTGGCACGTCTGCCATTAGATAGGAGCTTCGTGCTCAAATTAGTTATCAATCTTATCATATTAGTTTGACATCTTTGATACAAGTAACGAGTTCACTTCCAAGTGAACAACCCGATAGTCTTCTTCTTATCATAGCATACCAACCAGCGAACACCCAGCCAAGTTTAGTTAGCCAGTTTGAGTATTCGTTACAGAATTCCTTATTAGCTATAAGTTATATATTATTCTCTAAATTATTATTAGAGGCGGTTTAGGATTAATCCTAACTATACTTTTACTAGTTATTTAAGCTTCTCTTACCGAGTGTGACGGTTCTTACCGCCACCATGCCTCAAACCAGCCCCTGGCTGGCACCCGGCGTGCCCCGTGCTTCCCGAGCCCGGCTCGGTTAGCTATGGCTTGGCACACCTCCGGTATATAAGAGCTTCCAGCTCCTGGGCTTCTATCCTTTCTTTCTCTTCTCTCTTCAGCTTAGAATCCTCGAATAGACAGTTCCACAGTGCCCAACTTACACCAGGCGTAGTCGTGCATTCGTGCGCGGTCCATCAGCTGTGCGTGTCGTCACACCGAGAGTAATACCGCTCTTATAATATTAATATAAGCGTTTATTTATACCTTTAGGTCTATTTAGAGCGTTTTAAATCCGGCCGCTATATTTAATACTTATACTAGTAAGTACTTTATTTATATTCGTGACTTTATTACGTAGGCCTAGATAGCTAGAGGTAATACTTACTTATATACCTCTAGATAATACCTAAATTCTTTCTAGGGAACAAAGACGAGGGCCGCGGTATATTCTCTAATAATCTAAAGATAGTTTAACTAGTTACTATTAGTATTATTAGCTTAGCTTTCCTTCTCTCTTTTCTTAAGAAGGTAGTATAGCTTAGGAAAGAACTTAAAACTAAGTATAGGTTAGAAAAGAGAGAGCCGATCGTACCTACTATACCCGACGAGTAATAGGCTTCGAGAAGTATTTGCGCGTGTTATTCTACAGGAGATACTGAGCGATATTGTCTTCATAGAATATTCGGGCTGTTAGATGAATTTCCACTTAAATTCTATTTCATAGGTTTATTGTATTTATTCTAGATAAAATAAAACGGTCTGCTCCAGAAATCACCTACTTCTATTAATCCACTATTAACATTATATTTCTTCTACAAATTTCTTCTAATCCTTGACATTCCATCATTCATCTAATCATGCTAAAACCCATTCCTCCTTTGACTTCACACGCTCCAAAGCTTCGAGTACAAGCACCAGTAAGGCAAACTGAAACCGTGTAACAGCACGAGCCACCGAAATAGGGCGGTACTTATATGAACACTACTTTCTAGTATAACAACGGTTATTATTCTATTATGAAAGTAGATACCTAGGTATAGTTAGATTTTAGAATTTTATCTATAATAGTACCTCCTTGAAAGATTTCTCCCAGGTATATATTTTATATAGAAGTTAACTTAATGGTAGTTTTTATATGTTTTCTACTATGTCTAAGCGAATTTTCAAAACATAAGTAAACTAGCCTACCTTTTCGCTAATAACCTATTGTCACGAATCACGTGTTCACG